TTTCGGGGAATCACAAAATGTTATGGGATTGGAGATGTAGATGCAGCTATAGCTTCTCTGGCTGGGTTTCTTAATGCCTCATGTCATGCTGCAGTGCAAAGAACACAGGTCTGGCCGGGGATCTGAATTCTAAACTCACCTTTGCCCCAGAGGTTGTTTTTTTCTGTTCTTTGGGGCAAGTCCAGTCCTGGTCTTTCTCTTTGTCAATTGGAGGCTGCCGAATCTGGGGCTCTCTAAGCGCCTGCCTGGTTCTCAAAATCTCTGATTCTCAGAAAAGGTGCTTCATGAATTCTCCATGTCAGTATTTCTTCCTGGGGCACTTCTTACTACCTGAAAAACCAGAGGGCCAAAAATAAGTGAGTAGAGGCTATGGAATGTCTTGCTACTCCACCCAGGACACCTGGTCAATGACGGGGTATTTCCACACAGTGCACACCGCCCAAGCCCGAAACAACCTCTTAACAGGGGAAGGAGGATCAAGCTTGGGTCTTAACAAAGACAATAGAGGTATTCTTTTTAAAAGCATTGGATGCTTTCGGTTTGGACTTTTATTTAATCCTGAGTTAATCCTCCGTTTTTGGCTTAAAGATATTTGGTACCAGCTAGATTGCCCACGCACTATAATTACACAATTTGTTACCTCCTATGCATACGGGGAGGATGAGAAAGTCCAATGTTCGATCATTAACCAGACTTAGAGAAGTGTTCTTTGTTATGTCTTGGAATTCCTCGGAATTATTCATTGGTCTTTCACACTGGTGGGTTGGTTGGTTTGTTTGTTTTTTAGTAAGAATGTTGCAAATTTCTGTTTGTTCTTCCGAGACTGAATAGTAGCCAAGATTTGGGCTTAAGAAGTGCTAAAGTTGGGGCGGCTAGGTGGCGCAGTGGATAGAGCACCGGCCCTGAAGTCAGGAAGACCTGAGTTCAAATTCGGCCTCAGACCAAACACTTGACACTTACTAGCTGTGTGACCTGGGCAAGTCACCCCAACTGCCTCACTAATTTAAAAAAAAAAAAGTGCTAAAGTTGACATCCTTCCACGGAAAAGAAGGCTACTTTATAACTATCGCGATTTCTCAAATCCTATGGGGTTGTTTTTGGATAATTACAATTGTGCATGTATGGATAGTGTATACAATTAGGAATGCAAAGGAATGTCCAGAGACCTTGATGTAACATGTATGTAGTGCTTTAAAGTTTACAAAATGTTCTCATAGCCCTTGTATTATCTCCATTTTCCAAAGAAGGAAACTGAGTCTCAGAGATGTGCATTTACTTGGGCAGGATTACAGGATTGGGCCAGACACAAACTACTAAGTGACAAGTCAACTAGCATTTATTAAGCACCTACTATGTGCCGGGCACTGTGCTAAGTACTTTGGATACAAAAAAAAGCAAAAACCAGTCCCTTTTCTCTAGGAGCTTACAGTCTAATGAGGCGCTCATAATGGCAACCAAGTCTTCTGAATCCTAAGTCAAAACTCCTACTTTGTCACTTTGCCTAAGACACTAGGCCTGAGATTCTCTGCCTGGAACGCTTATTAAGGTTTGTTTGACTGAAGTGTGGAGAGACTTTCAATAGATTATTGGCTGTTCCAAGTATCTTTTTGGGGGTGCATACATATAAATGTGGAATCCCTTACATGGTCTCCTTGGATTGTGCCAGCAGGTCCAGCCTTTTGGGAAGTCCACCCCCTATAGGGGAGGAAGGATTGAAATGAGCCTTTAAGGGATTTGTTGAATAGAAGGCAACTTCCAAACAGTTTTGCTCCCTTTGCATTTATTCTATTTATTAAAGAAGCATTAAAAAAAAACAAAAAACAAAACAAAGTTGTTTCAGTCAGGTCTGATTCTTGGTGGCCCCATTTAGGATTTTCTTGGCAAAGATACTGGAATGGTTTGCCCATTTGCTTCTCCAGCTCATTTTACAGATGAAGAAACAGGGTTAAGTGAGTTGCCCAGGGTCACACAGCTAGTAAGTGTCTGAGGCCAGATTTGAACTCAAGTCTTCCTAACTCCAGTGCTCTATCCACCCAGCTCCCCTTTAGTACCAGATATTAAAATGTATAAATATTTGGTACTGGAAATGCAGCTGTTTGTAACTAGTAGGTCTGGGTCCCCTCTGCTCTTGAGAGCTACATATTTCAGCAGTTTCTGGTTATTCAAAGACCCAACCATACAAGACTCCTTGCTGTCTTACTAGAAGGGAAAGGCCTCTCTAGCCAGAAGGAAGATAATCGAGGGTGACAACTAAAAAGGAAGGCGGAAAGACCCCAGAGGGACTGGATTCAAATCCCTTCTCTGATTCTTACAACCTGTGTGACCTTGGGCAAGTCCTTTCATCTCTGGGGCCTCAGTTTCCCCATCAGTAAAATGAGGGCCCATAAAGTGGTAGTGGCCAGGAGATAGAGTCAGGAAGACTCATCTTCCTGAGTTCAAATCCAGCCTCAGGCACTTCCTAGCTGGGTGACCCTGGGAGAGTCACTTCACCCTGTTTGCCTCAGTTTCCTCATCTGTAAAATGAACTGGAGAAGGAAATGGCAAACCACTCCAGTATTTTTGCCAAGAAAACTCAGACATGGGGTCACAAAGAGTTGGACATCACTGACTTCTGCTTCCAAATTCAAAGCTTTTACCCTGAGATCACAGAAATAAAAATGATAGGGAAGGAGAAAACCCCCCTTTTACTTGCCTGCTAAACTTATGCAGCCCCTTGCCTCTCTCCCAAGCCTTTTTCCTTCTCACTTAGAGATGATTTTAAGATTTTTTGAACTCCTTTTTCAGTTCACCTGGGAGTTCACTTGTTGGAATTCCAAGACCCAACTTTTCATATAATGACAATAATAAGAATGATAATAAACTTTTATAGGTTTTTGTTTTTTTACAGCTTATTATGTTTACAATTTAATATTAAAATCTAGTGTCTGGACCATGCTTTCCTTGTTTGTAAAACGGGAATGAGGAAGAGGGTAAGGAAGAGCGGGCAGGAGTCTGGCCTTCATTATCTCTAAATCTCTCTACTAAAAGCCATTGGTTTACTGTCGGAAGGGACCTTAGAACTCATCCAGTCCACTTAACTCCTTTTAGAGCAGGTAACGGAGGCCCAGAGAGGAAAAGTGACTTGCAATAGTTGATAAACACACATTGAGTACCTACCGTGTTCTAGGTAAGGTGCTAAATTTGGGAGCCACCAAGAGAGGCAAATGAGTGCTGCCCTCAGGGAGCTTACAGTCTAATTCAGTAAGGTAACTAGCAAAAAACTAGGCCAAATTATACCTATCTACACGTATATATGCACACACACACACATATATATATACACATATGTATACATTTTATGACCTTGTTCTAATTTGTCATATATTTATTTTTAAATCACATATATTTATATTCGTTATACATAAATGCATATAATACGTCAAGGTCATAAAATTACCAAGTGGAAGCGACTGGATTTGAACGCGCAGCATTAGGGTATGGCAGAGGGGTGGGGGAGAGACCGGGGGAGGAGGGGAAGGTGTTAAGTGCCAGAACGCCCAGCCACAGGTGCTTACGACAGAGCAGGGAGGGAGGGGGAGGGGTCAAGGGCAGGGGAGTAGACGATAAGGCCGAAATGCGCATGCTCAGTCGCTGGGGCCGAGCTCCGGGGCTAGTAAGCATCTGTCCTTTGGGACCAGTATTCGTCCCTCCCCCGCCTCTCAGTTCGACTTTTCTCTGCGTTACTTCCTGAAGCCTCGCGAGAGCTGACTGCCCACAGCTAAGATGCCTGCCAATGCGCTTTGCCCTTGGGAGAAGCATCACGGTGAATTCCCCCAGGCTCAGTTTTCTCTCCCCACTGTCAGACAACCTCTCTTCAGGTGGAAGAGGGTCAAGGCGCCCGCCGCCACGCTAAGCTCCGGCCCGTAGTCCACTCCCCACTCCCCAGCTGTCGCTGCCCTTAAGCAACATGGCGGCCTGCGCCTCGGCGCGCCCCCCCCAATATGGCGCCCGGGCAGCCCGCCCCGCGCCACGCGCCCCGCCCCGGCCTCTTTTTGCCCACACCCAATAGGGCCCCCGCGGCGTCGGTCACGTGGGCCTGGGAGTACGGCGCGGGAGAGGGGCCGGGCGGGCGGGCTAGTGCAGGGTGCGCGCTCCCGCGGCCGGCCGTCCGTCCGTCCCGCTGGTAGGTCTCCGTCAGAGTCACTATGGCGGCCGGGGCCGGGGCCAGGGTCGGGGCCGGGGCGGGGGCGGGGAGGGCCGGCGGGGTTGCGGGGGGCGCCTGACGGGCCCGGAGGGCGGGCGGCGCCTGACGGCGGCTGGTCGCGGTTCTTGTCGCCTGCAGGTCGGAAAGTTTGGCGGCGGCGCCGCGTGAGCCGGGGCGGGCGGCCGGAGAGGGCCCGCAGGCCAGCGTTCGAGGCAGCGAGAGAGGCCGGAGGAGCGGCCGAGCCCAGCCCCCCCACCCCGGCCTCGGCCCCCCACGCGCCGCCGCGGACACGCGGGAGCCCAGCCCGGGCCGCCGCCGACGCGCGATGCGCGGCCCCCGCTAGCGCGAGCGCGGCCGGGACGAGGGAGCGAGCGAGCGAGCGAGCGAACGAGGGAGGAAGCCCACGGGCGAGCGAGGCAGCCCACGGGGAGCGGGGCCCTGCTCCATGCGGCAGGGCCACTGCCGCCGCGCGAGACCCGGTCCCGGCGCGTGTCCCCGCGGGCTCGAGTGACTCCCGGAGCGGCCGCGGGTGGATGCGGGACGCCCCCTCCGCGCCGCCCGCCGGCAGCCTCCTCCAATGTGGTTGGAGCCCCTGGGTGCTGAGCCCCAGGGGGATGGAGTGAGGGGCGCCCCCCACGCGCGCTCCTGTCGCGGGGCCCTGCAGCCCGGCCATGCCCGGACCGCTCCCACGGTGGTGACCCGCGGTGACCCCGGCGTGCGCTCGGGGCCGATGCTGCCTGGGCTCTGATCGACCCTGCTTCGGGGGTGGGTGGGAGGGGACACGCGTGGCGTGGCTGGCGCGGCGTGCACGGCCGTGGCCAGCAGCGTGGCTCAGGAGGAGCTCCTCTTCGGACCCGGGCCTGGCTGGAGCGGGCTCCCCGAGCTGTCCTCAATGCCTTCGGCCCTGGCCATCTTCACTTGCCGCCCCAACTCGCACCCGTTCCAGGAGCGCCATGTCTACCTGGACGAGCCCATCAAGATCGGGCGCTCGGTGGCCCGCTGCCGGCCGGCCCAGAACAACGCCACCTTCGACTGCAAGGTGCTGTCCAGGAACCACGCGCTGGTCTGGTTCGACCACAAGACGGGCAAGGTAATGGGCAGCCGCGGGGGGGGTGGGGGGGGCCTCTGGGGGCACCACCTGCCCTGGTACAGGGCTTCGCCCCGTGGGCCCGGAGCTGGAGACGCTGTTTGGGCACTCGGGCCTCGGGCGTGGGGAGGAATCCCGTGGAGGCCCGCTCCTGGCTCCCCTGACTCGGTGACTCTGGGCAGCCTGCTCAGCCTGAAAGTTCCCTGATCCAGGACTGGCTCCCTGGCATGGGCAGAGGGAGTTTCCCGTTGGAGTTTGTGGAGCCGGTGAGCCAGTGAACAGTCACTTTTGATACCCTAGGCAGTTGGTCCCGGGTGTGTTTTTAAGTTTGTCCCGGGTCTCTCTGAGTTGACCCTGGGCTGACTTAAACTTTTCCAAGAGGATCTGAGAATCTAGGCCTAGCGCATTAGGATACTTTGCAGTAATTTGAAAAAGACAGACTGGAAGAAAAGGGAAGAAAGTTCTTTGGAATTCTCTGGAATTCTTGGATTCTGAAATTATGGTGTTGCAGAGTCAATTGGCTTTTAAAGGCAAAAGCAAAAATAGCCCTTAAGAGCGTGGCGTCTACGCGTGATTTGGGTGAGAGCGAAGAAACACGCTTGGTGAATACCAGCACGCTTGCCTTACCTGTGGAATATGTTTCTCTTATCTCTTCTCCGAAAGCGTTCAGTTTGTGTGCAAACCGGACTTCCCCTGAACCCCGGGAAATGTGGAAGTAATTTGTAGGACTGGTGGAGACCCTCCCATCACACAGTCAACTCTTTCCCATTTCCTTCTCTTTAGGGGTTTGATTTGCCCTTGGGACAGATGACCAGAGGGCCGTCGTACACTCTGTGAGCTACCTCGGGTAGACCTTTTAAACACCACTTTAAATTTTGGGGGACAAGTTGTAATTGGTAACGTGAAGGAACCTTTCTAGGACTGTGCAAAGCTAACAGCCCCGTGGCTTACTTGGAGATGACTAAGACTGTACCAGAAGTGGGCGGTTTTTGGCACGGGAATTGAGATGACATGTTAAAAATGTGCACAAAATGTGTGCTTGAAAGCTCTGCAACCACAGTTACCTTTTTACATGAAACAGTTGGATCATTCCTGATATACTCCCTTTGCCCCGTTACCTAAAAGAGGATAGATAAGTAAAGAAAATTAGCCGTTTGTTAATTGCGTGATAGGTGGCGGGATTAATCAGTCCGTGGCACCATGGCCGGTCAGATTGAAGCACATGGAAATACAGGCTGTTTTAGCTGATAGTCATTTGGAATTGTGAGTTACGTGGGGTAGAGAGACCAGCCAGATGACCATGTTGGTGTTTGATGTCCTTGCGAGAAATGTCCATTGAGAGAAATCTTATGTTACCTTTATTTCTCCGGCAGCTACCAGTTTAGGACAAGTTCTTAATTTCATTTAGTTTGCACCAAACCACTCAAAGGGGAAGTAGCAATTTAATTATGTACTTGTCCCTGAAAGTTCAGAGGACTTTGTGTCATCTCATTGAAACGAACTCTAAGGAACTGTCCAGCTTCTTTGGTTATGCTGGACTTTGCTGAGATAAAATGGGTTGGAAGGAGATCTCTGGGACCTCGAGCATCTTCTGTTAGAGGAGACTTTGTTCCAATGAGACAGAGCAGAGGAGCCCGGCTTCACGTCCTGCCTTCTGACACACTGGGCCCATCTTTCCTTCTCTGTACATTAAGACATTGGACCGGATGTCCCCCGATGTCCCTTCCAGTTCTGGAGTTTATGAACCTCTAAACTTTATAATAATAATAAGAAGAAGAAGAAGCACATTTGCATAGTGCTTTACAAGAATCTCATAGTATTTTCACAACAGCCCTGGGAGGTAGGCCCTATTATTACCTGCATTTCACAGGTGAGAAAACTGGGGCAGGCAATTTCTTACCCAAGTTCACACAGCTAGAAGGTGTGAGGCTGGATTTGCACTCAGGGCTTTATGACTTCAGGTCTAGTGCTTGCTGTATCTACTGTGCCATTTGGCTGCCTTTCTACTTCACCTGTGTGATTTTGTGAAAGGCACTGAACCTACCTAACCTGGGCCTTAGTTGGGTCATTTGTAAAATGAGAGAGTTGAATTTGATAGTTTCCATGCTCTCTTTCTATCTCTAATAATAATAGTTCACATTTATATAGGCTTTTAAGGTTTGCAAAGTTTCGTTTTATCCTTTTAGCAATCAGGCAGTCAGGAAGATTTTATTAAGCACCTACTATGTGCCAGGCACTGTGCTAAACACAGAGCACTCAAAAAGAGGCAAAAGACAGTCTCTGCTGTCAGGGAGCTCCCAGTCTGATGGAGAAAATAACCTGCAAACACTTTGGTACAGAAAAGACCTAGAGGGATAAAGTGGGGAGAATTAGCAGTGACTGGTGGGAAAGCACTCGCATTAATGGAGACCCATAGAGGCTTCCTGGAGAAGGTGAATTTTAGCAGGTACTTGAAGAGAAACAGGAGGTGGCAATGGGAGCCTTCCGGGCCTGGGGAGCAGCCAGAGAGAAGCCTGGAGCCGAGGGAGGGAGGGCCTTGTTTGAGGAACAGCCAGGAGGCCAGAGGCACTGGATCACAGAGTACCTGTCGGGGAGTGAGGTGCCAGAAGACTGGAAAGGTGGGAGGGGGCAGGGTTGTAAAGGACTCTGAATGCCAAACTGAGCATTCTGTATTTGGTCCTGTAGGCGACAAGGGCCCGTGGAATTGACCGGATAGAGAGGGGTGGTGTGGGCAGGCCTGTACTTCAAGAAGGTTACTTTGGCAACCTGAGTGGAGGATGAACAGGAGTAGGGACAGAGAGTCTGGGAGACCGGCCAGAAAGGTTATTGCAGTTGTCCAAGAGTGAGACAATGAGGGCCTGAACCAGGGTGGGGCAGTGTCAGAGGAGAGAGGGATGTTAGGAAGGCAAAATCAGTAGGACCTGGCCCAGGATATGGGAGGTGAGAGGAAGGGCTTGAGACCAGCTTGGGAGCTTGGGCCACTGGGAGGACGGGGGCCCTCCACAGTAAGAGAGGAGAGTTTTCGGGGAAAGATCATGAGGTCACTTTTGGACACGTTGGCTTAAGATGTCTATGGATCATCCTTTTGGAGATGGCTGGTGGGCACGATACAGGTTTGAAGCTTATGAGAGAGACCAGGCCGGACATCTGAGAAGCTTCGGTGTACTTGCTGTTATCCCTGTTTTTCAAATGAGGAAACAGAGGCCTAGAGCCATTAAGTGATTTGCCCATAGTCACCCAGTAAGTTACTGTTTAAAGTGGAATTTGAACCCAGGTCCTTCTGACTCCACATCCAACTGTCTGCTGTTTCTTGATTTACTATTAATGTGTTCTTTGCCTGATTTGTCAACTGGTAGAGACTGACTTTTGAATTCCCAGCTCACTGTGGGCTCCCAGTGGCCCCTTTAACGTCAGGTTTACACAGAATGTGCTGTGATTGTTTGTGTCCTGATAGAAAATAAAGATGAAATGGAGGATATGCTCAGAGAAATGATAACCCTAGCATTTTCCAAGTCTGCCTTCCTGGGCCCAGCGTTCTCAGTCTACCCGATGTTTCAGACTGAGGCCAGGCTGCGAGGAAGTAAAGCTGGCCCTGGGGCCCAGTCATTAGGAGTCCGCTGCCTCTGATGACTTGGGTGACCTGGGGACCCTCTGTGGGGAGGAGCCAGCGGGCAGGGAGGCTCCGGGCCCTTTGTTCTGTCATCTTCATGCCGTTCTGTGTCATGCTCGTGGCAGGGCCTGCAGAGCACTAATGCCAAGTTCTCCAGGTGTGTACAAAAGTCCTCTGGGAGTCAGTGCTCCAAGCATTTATTAAACACCAGCTCCTATGCTGAAGGCCCTTGCCACCATTCTCTTGTTCTGTTACATGTACACACAGTGATTTGAGGAAGAAGAGACAAGGGAAATCAGGAAAGGCTTCCCGTAGGAGGAGGTCCCTGAGCTGAGCTGGGAAGGAAGCTAGGGAACAAAGTGGTGAGGGCTTTGGGCAGCCTCGTGGAGGTGGGGGATGGAGTGCAGAGCTCTGGGAGCAGCCAGCGGGCCACTTGTCTGGGATATGCTCTCAAGAGCGATGATGGCAAAGCAGTTCACAAGGTTTGGCAGGAGCCAGCCTGGGAAGGGCTTTTGATGCCAGGCTGAGGAGGGGCAGCAGGAAGCCACGGAAGCTTGTGGACCAAGTGTGAAAGTGGCCAGACTTCTCCTCCTGGGAGAAGCTACCCTTCTTTCAAGACTCAGCTCAGATTCTGCTGGTGTTCTCCCTCCCAAAACTAGCCTCTACTCATTTTGTATTATTCTGTACTTGGGTATAACCAACTGCAGTGTCCCCCAATAGAATGTAAGCTCCTTGAGGACAGGAACTGTTTGCTGCTAGAACTACTTTGTGATTGCTTAATATGTGCTTGTTGATTGACTGAATGACTGTGCTTTAGGAAGATTATTTTGGTCATGTTTGGAGTATGGATGAGACCAGGAAGAAACTGGAAACAGACAAAGAAGGGTCCGGTAGAGAGAGGAGATGAGGGAGTGAGCGAGGGCAGTGCACCTGTGAGTGGAGAGAAGGGGGCAGGTGTCAGAGACATGGTAGTGACAGCTATTGCAAGACATGAGGAGTGAATGGGCAAGAGGGTGAGGGAGAATCAGGAGTTATGGGTGACTCCAGGCTTGTGAACCTAGATGATGGAAAGGGTGGTGGGGCACCCTCAACAGAGCAAGAGCTGTTGGGAAGAGTGGGCGCTATTTTGGACAGTGGGAGTTTGGTAGGCCGATTTAGTAGGTGTTTGGTGATGTGGCGCTCAGGAGGGAGACAGTGGACTGATATATAAATTTGAGAGTCATCTGCAGAGACATAATTGACCCATGGAAGTTGGTGCTATCAGTGAGGGGTGGTACAGAGAAAAGAAGAGGGCCCAGGACGGAGCCTTGAGAAAAGACCCAGGGTTAAGGGTGGGTCCAGGAAGGAGACTGTGACAGGGAAGTTAGGTAGGAAGAGAATCAGGATAGAGGAG